GGCAAATTTTCAGGCCAACAATGGGTTCAGTGATGGGAAAATACGGTTGTCTGTCGTAGTGGAAATGCAGGGTGGGGTGGGGTGTAGGTGAACGAGACATGTATTCTATTTTCTTTTCTTCATTTTTCTTTTTGTTTGCCATAATTTTTATTTTTTTATTTTTTTGGTTTAAAATTGAAGTTAGGGAGAATTTTACATTTTTAATGGTCAAACTAACAACCCTAAGAGGTAGCTCAGTAATCAGGCCTAAGGTTTGCTCTGTAATGGTCACCAGTCCGAGTCCCCTCAAGGCCATTGAGGTGAGTGTGGCTGTAAACTTCAGGGTCATATGAAATTAGTCGAGGTGTGGGTAAACTCGTCTGGACACCCACGATCATCCAAAAAAAATAAAATGGTCAAACTAACACTTTCCATTAGGCAGGGATCCAATTTTAGTGTTCATAGGTTGGGGAGTCAAAGTCTCACTTCTGTAGGTTGAGAAGCCGTTCCCACACTAGTTGAAAGGTTGGGGAAGCCAGCCCTAATTGTTTGTAACTAAAAACTGTACCAAAACTTCATTATTTCATGTGAGTTGATTTGATAAAAGGTGCTTAAATTCCTAATAATAGAGGAAGCCTCTTCATCATGTTCTCCTCGTCAACAACTTAGAATTGAATGGGACAATTTCCAAAATTTAGTTTCAGTTGTTGAGACAAGGCATGGAACATCTTGATTGATTGAAATTATAACAGTCATTTTTAATGTGTTTATCCTTTGCTTATGGATCCACACCCATATACCAATCAGTAGTCCTTAAGTAGAATCAGATGCAAACTACAGGATTTTACTTCATTGAGCATCTATTTACTCCAGCCTTTGACTAGGAAACAGTGTGACTTCACTAAAACAAGAGGCGCCAAAAGCTTAGGTGATTGATCTACAGAATATTAGTAGCTTAAGCTTCTAACTAATTTTGTGGATACAGGTTTAAAAAAATTGTCTTAGATCCATTATGACTGATTCAACTTTGAATACAGAAATGAAAAAACTGTCATAAGGAATTTCAGAGGAGAGGAACTACTTACAATTATCTTCCCCCGAGAAGGTTCATATGACGACTGATCCATAGCAGCATGTTGTTCCCTGGAGTTGGTTCCAATACTTAAAGAGGCTGGGTTTACAGAAACATGATCACATTCTTCACTTGATTTCTCACGTGCCATAAATGCCACTGACACTACATTTTCTTCCTTAAACTTCTTCTGAGGCTGTAGAAGTGGATTACAAGAATCTAAAGGTGAATGATGTCTTCTTTTTGTCAGGGAAGTGGTAACACTAGAAGGATTCAGTCTTACAGGTGTTGATTGTTTAATCTGATTCTCCCTTGAGTTCAACGAACAAGGTATTTCCTCTTCAGAGTTGTCCTTTCTGTTGCCTGAACTCCCTACCAGCACAGACACAGCATTGCCATCAGCACATTTGGGCTTCAGGCCTTCATTTCCGTTGTCTGAAGATAGGATTGAGACTCCCTAAGAGAATTGTCAAACTGTCAGGTTTTGCTGATCATGGATAACTCAATTCAGTCAAATTGACCAGCACATCCGTATTACAATTACCACACTAAAGCTCTAGGTCTACGTACTACCGACTAGTTTTAGATATTCTGCATACTCACGAATTGGCGCAAACATAACAAATTGTGAATTCATCTGGGAAGGAAACAAATCATTTAGAGATTTTGATTAATTTTCAAGGCAAAGGAATTTAGAATAAATGATTCATGATTTGGGCATGTCAAAACTCAAGAAGTTGCTCTCTTTTCTCTCTATTTTTTTCAGGTGGAATTTGCCCATGAATTGGCCAACATTAGATGACATCAAATAAATATTAATGAAAAGTGCCCAAAGTATCAGTATCTTGAAAGAGAACAAATATGAAACTTGATCATTCAGTAACCAAGAGCCCTGTGCCTTGCACCAAGTGAAAAATGAGTAAAAACATGTTTGATGTAGACTTTTAAGAATAGATTTTGACAAAATTGATATTGTTTGGAGAATGTGGTCAGAAAAAGTTATGGATCCACGTGCAAAATTATTTTATTGTAACATGAGGTTGGAAATGATTTTGATTTGGAGAAAAAAATAATAATAATAATAATTTAAAGAACTCAGGATAATATCAATATTTTTAATATCAAAAGAAGAAAGGGGGCCAACAATAAGGATATTACTGACCATCAAATAAAACAGAAGATTCAGAAGCTTGCAAAAACTAGCACAAACCTGGGAAGAAGTGAACCATTTTCCATTTTTCCATTCCATATGAGGTCTAAGTTCTGACTGATGGAATTTCTTGTGTTTTTTTATCTGCTTTAAGAAGACAATGTACCTACTATCCTCAAGTTCTTTCGTAATCACTCCACTCCACCAGCCAAAATCAAAGAATGCCTCAACTTTTTCAAACAAAGTAAATCTTTTATCCTCGAGAACCGGTGGGCATGGTCTGATGTGAAGGGAAGTAGTATTTACTTTCAGATTTTGAGCCTTGTCGCCAATTTTTTTGCTCCAGTACTCCACCAGAAAAGATAAGTTTCCTAAGTATTCACGTATAGTGGTTGGAAACCAAGCATCCCCACAATCTTCTATATCAAATGACACTTCTAATTTTCTCCCATCAAACATCAAACCTACCATCTTCCACAAATTAGAAAAGAAGAAATATAATTAAAAAATCGACAATCGAAATTAGAAATAGAAATCAACTCTAAAGATGTAAAGATTACTATACGGAGTAATATAGAAATATTCAATAAGCATACTGCAGACTTGCAAACTAAACCCCCCCCCCCCCCCCCCCCC